CACCTCCCCCCCCCTCCTCCCTCATAAATATACACACACACACACAGATAAAGAATGTAATTATTTGTAATTAGAAATCATAAACAGATTTATGAGCAATTCATCTTACATCTATATTAAATCATATCTATATTGAATCATATAATCTATTTATATTGAATCATATTACGTCCTCCAATCTCCTTCGCGACTCCAATCACCTTCTTATCTTCTTCTTAACTTTTTAACTTTATTAAGTTTAATTATGATTTCCATGCTGACGATTGTGCGAGACTCGTTCGCAATATATCAATTAGCGCTTCCTCGTCGTCGTTCGACCAAATTTCAAGCAGCTTTCTCTTACATTGCAGTTAAATATTATAACTTTCTTCCGCCTAATATTCGCTCAGCGTTTTTCCTTCATGCCTCTCGTTCTGCTACGAGTAGATACATTCTCTCACACAAAGTAATTTAATTTAATTTGTAAAATAATTTTTGCACAAAGTAATGCAATAGAAATAGTGCCGGCGTCGATGCGTCGCCTTTTAATTGATATTCTTGTATACAACTGTAATTTCTTCAGTATACTAAAACTTGTGCCATCCAATAAAGTTATTATTATTATTGTTGTTATTGTTGTTGTTATTATTATTCCCAACATATCAAACGAACGCCCAGAACAAGCCCCCGAACAAGCCCAGAGTCGAGAGACAAATAATAAGCAAGCCTCCGACTATCGCGCGCTTAACAGTCAAGTTTATCAGCGTCGTGACATTATTTTCAACTTAATGGAAACAATAAAAGTACATAACAATTCGTCGTTAGAGTGCGATCCGTTATAGGCACGATCCGGCCGGTACGATTGCACAACCGTTGTTCGCGATTAATTATTTTCGAGTGTTATGAACGCGCGAGCTATAATCAATCTCGCGACAATCGGGCGAGCGTTATTGTGTTAAAGATTATTAAACGCTTTAAATATCAGTTTTTCTTCCCTTACCGAGGCTCAAAAATGCAAAACGACTCCGATTCAACGTTGGTCAAATAATTCTTGGAAATTATACCAAAGTAATAAGTAATAGTAGTAGTAAGTATGTAATAACAATACACATATATTTATTTCGTATGAATGATTACATCCTGCTTACAATCGTAAACGTACATTGCGCCTTATTCATAAAAATTCGGGAATTCATTTGGCAAATGGGGAACGTCATCTTCACAAACTCTCTTCTGTCATATTTCTCGGAAGATACGTTCAGCAGATCGCGAGAGGTTCCTCCTCATAAATCTATCACTATTAAGTAAACATACGAAGCGAAATTTTGCCGAGGACGAATCTCTCGTCTCGGTTTCGTTAGGATCACTTGTTATCTACCATTAGGGAATGAGTGTAACCGTCGGGACATCGAGATAAGATAAATCCCGCCGAACACGCCCGCTCAAGACGAAACTTTGTACAATGTGAACTCGGTGAAACTTCGAAGATTGCCGCCCAAGATCGGCGCCTTCCTGATCCTCTCGTTTGACCAACGCCCCACCTCCTCCATGGCCTCTCGCCTTCTCCTCGAGTGAATCCTGTTGTCTTTGGGGTTTGCTAGGATACCCATCAAGCTTGATACAGCCAGCTTTTTACCGCCCTCCATCAGATTACCTCGCATCAACCCTGACATCATGTGCTTCAGTCCAGTCGAAACGTCCTTCTTTATTCCCGGTAAAGTCTTCCATATAACCTCCATCTTCGTTACGTTGATGACGTTCTTTATCTCCGTGATCACTTCGCTCTCGTTCTTACCTCTAGTCGTGTTCCTCTCATCTCCCACGTGCGCGACGTCGATTGTCCCCACCTCGGGACGCGTCGTCGTGAACAGCTGATTCTCCTCCGTCGGAAGACTATCATATTGCTGCTTGTACCGCAAAGCGGAAAAATTGTTCAAATCTGACGTCGAGAGATCATTAAGATCGAGACGGCTTTTCTCGGCAATGTGGAGTCCGCTCGCCTCTGCCAGCATGTTGTTCGAGTCTGCCATCATGAGGTTCGCGTCGAGACTTCTCCGTCGTCGTCTTCGAGTCACCGCTTCGAACTTCTCGTCGGTCTCAGGATACTGCGAGTCCTCGTTAGCATTCGCGTGCTCGGAACTGAGCTCCCGTAAGTCCTCGGAACGTCCCTCGAGGCTCTCGTCGTCGACGTCGTTGGGTTCCACCTTGATTAAGTTCGCGTTTTTCGTCAGCCTGCTCAGGCTGGTGCAGTTCAACAACGCGTTCATGGTCTCCACATTGACGGAGTCATTCAGGGACTTGAGCTGCTCGAGCAGCTCCGTCATTTGCCGATGGCGGTCCGGGTTCTCGTTCAACAGCATTCTCTTCTCGACCTCAACCAAATTTTCCTTCTCTTTTTTTTCGTTCACGTGCTCCAGCAGGATCTTCACCTTCAACGTAAACTTGTGCCGCGGCTTAGTTACGGTTATGGACGACAAGGTGCTTCTTCGGGTCTCCACGGTGGTGGGGATGCTGCTGATCTCGGTCGAGTCATTTTCGATCTTCTCGGAGGTCAACGCGACCATCGTCGTGCTCACGGCTTCGGTCGCGTTCTCAAGCGAGATCGTCTCATAATCTGAGTAGTCGATCTCTTCGTCCAGACAATCGCCGGACTCGCAGGATCTGCTGCTGGTCGTGTGACAATCGCCGGTCTCGTCGCATGCTGACGTACTGGTGGGGCGTGCACAATCTTCGGAATTCTCGCAGGTGTAATCGGCCTCGCTACTCGATGCCGGGGGCAACACGATCGGTGGACGAGATGAGGACGTTGTTAAAACCGTCGGGATAAATTGATCCGGCTTCTTGATGATCTCCGGCTCGACCGTCGTCTCTCTGTCGATCGTCTTGATGGTTACAGTGTCTTCAAACTCTTCGGAAGACTCCTCCTCCTCCTCGGACATCGAGGAAGATTCCGAGGTCAATGACGATTCGGACGATTCGGGCAATTTGGACGAATCGGATGGTTCGGATGTTTCGGATAATTCGGATGATTCGGACCACTCGTCCGGCACTCCGTGTTTCAGTACCTTCATGATATTGGTGAGTCCAAGCGTTGGTAACGTAGATGTGACTATTTTCTCGAGACCAGCTTCATCCGAAGTCACGGTACTAATATTTAACTCCATACTACTCATGGAACTTCCTTTATCGACGTCTTCGTAGGAGCTACTTTCCGTCGTCTCCGCAGGCGTAGAGACGCTAGATTCCTTCGTCTGGTCGAACGATCTACTAACATCGGTGGAATTCGAGACATCTTCGGATTCGATCGGGACGTTTTTCTTAGTCGTTTTCGCGATCGTAGTCGTTTGTTCAGTCGACGAATAGGGAATCGTCGACGCCACGCTACTCTCACTCGAGCCGGACGAAGATTCAATGGATGACCTTTCCGACGATTTATCCTCGACGGTCGACGACTCGACAGTCGACTCTTCGGAGGAGAACACATCGCTTATTGGCGTCGCGCATTTCGGGTCCGACGATTCTTCGTCGCAATCTTCGTCCGTGGGAACCGACTCGCCACTCTTCTCGAAGACCGGAGCTTTGGTGGTGCTCGTCGGTCTCGGGACCGTTACTTTGTAAGACATCGTTGGAACTTTATGCTCGATGGGCAAAATCAGCGTCTCATCGCTGCCTCTTTCGATACTGCTTTTGCTATTACTTTCGCTACTGCTGGTACTCGTACTGCTGATCTCGTCGCTGCCGATCTCGACGTTACCGACTTCGTCGCTCGGTGTCAGCTCGGTGACGACCTTTTTCTTGGTGCTGTCGATCTCGGTACGCTTCGTCGAGCCTTCGTCGGACTGCGTGGTCACCTTGCAGGCACCGCTCTCCGCGGTGTTCTCGCAGGACTCGGTCGATTCGCTGGTGCGATTGTACTTTTCACTGCTCTCGTCAATCTCCTCGGTGCAGGGCTCTTCCTCGCTCTTCTTCTCCGCCAACTGATGTATCTCGGGGCTGACCTTGATCTCCACCCGCTTCTTCGGGTTCTTTGAGCCATCGTGCCACTCGATGATGTTCTTGTTGACCACCGGCCCGACCCCGCATTTCACCTTCTTGTGTTGCCAGATGAGAACGTCGCCGACGTTGCTGACCGTGGTGAAATTGACGATCCTGCTCGCTTTGGTGTTCTCGTCTATCACCTCGAATAAGGCGGTCTTGCCGACTTCGGGGTCGTTCGCCGCCAATTCGCCCTCGAGTCTCTCGCACTCGAGATACCGATCCGGTATGGTCGCCGAGTTCTCGAAGGAGATCGTGTATTCGCGGATCACCAGCCTCTTCGGCGGCCGCACGTTCTTGTCCTCCTTGATCGTCGTCGTCTCGATCCAGCATAGAGTGATGTCCTCGCCGACGTGCACGCTACTGGTAGTCTTCGCCTTGGAGTTATTGCCAATCACATCGTCGAATTCCTTGTCGACCACCAGCCCCCCCTTGCTCGTCGTGTTCCCGATGAAGCTGCTCGAATACCTCTGGTTCTTCTTCCTGACGCTCACGCAACTCCGGTCCTCCGGCAACTCGACGAGTTTAGGGCTTAGAAGTTTAGGGTTGTGCGTCGTGGCGGTGATCACCGGCTTAGTTCGACCTCGCTGCTGCCGGAGGATGTTCGTGTTCACGTTCACGTTCTGATTATTTATCTTCCTGCGCGTGAGAGACGAGAGGGAAAGAAGGATAGTGTGATTAGTGACAACATAACGCCAGCATCGCGAGCAATTTTGTTACAAGCAGATACCGATCGTCTGTCTCTTAGAGCTCGGTTTTCACTACACGGAGAAAATAATCGTTCTATTGTTCACAGAGAAAAATCTTATTTTACTGCAAAGAAAAGCAATCACTCAGGTTATTTTTTTTTTTCTTTTAAATAATGGTTCTCTTGGACGAAGAATATTCTCTCGACAATAGCATTACAGTGTACTCAACATAAATATTAGAAAAGTTGATTATGACTTATTCAACAGAAGGATTTGTCCTCTTTTCATGAATATTATGAACTTTATCGAAGAATTCGGCTAATTGGAATAAATAAACTGAAGTTTTAGTTGTAGTGCTTTAATATAATATTCTTGATAGAATGTTAAATTTACTAGAATTCAGAATATATCTTAATTAAATTTGATGCTTATGATATACTCACGGATATATAAACTTATGAAATATTTGAAACAAATAATATTTACTTGAGTGCAGTATGTTCATTACGTTTCATTTTTTGTATGAAACGAAACCATCGTTGCTCCTGCATATTCATGCCGATAGCGTTAAAATTTAGTTGACGTAATCAAATTAGCGAATTATTTGTAATTAGAGCAAAAAACAAGTCTGTTGTCAAGATAGAAAATATACTGAGCGAATTCGTCCTTAGGACACGTTAATTCTCTGTTAGAACAAAATAGTGTTTTCTTACATTTACTAATTTGTTCTTACAGCAAAATAATGTGTAGATTCAGTAAAATAATTCAGCAAATGGCAATTAGTATTCTTAACCAATTGTTTCTCTGTCCACATAATAACTAACAAATTTTGCTACCACGGCGTAAAATTTGCCATGCCAGCAAGTTATTTTTCTCCGTGTTTTCTCGTTGCTCCTCGCCACACTTCGTTAATACTTTGATTTTATTATTAATGTTACATTTTTATATATTAATTTCATTATATATTAGTTACATCTTACTAGGAAACGGCAAATTACTAACACTTTGCCCTTCGGCGACCCATTGTCTTCCGGGGAGATTGAAACTTTGTCATTGAGCGAATCTTCGGGCGAGCTGCTCTGCGACTTTACACTCCTCTTCGTCCGCGAGGCAGCATTGCGCCAGTTATCCTGGGAGTCTATTTTTTCCTCTTCGAATACATTCCGCATCTATGAAATCGGGCAGATGTGAGGGGAGAGTTGAGGCGATAATTAAAATTAACAGCTTACATACCTGATTCGCGACTGACAAATCAGAGGCTAGTGGGATCGCGGCATTATCACGCAACCAACAGCAAACCTGTCTCAGTAAAATAAAGAAAGTTCGAGATTCAATCGATAAGAGAATTACCGTATCGATGATGTTGCTCGGAACAATTAACGGTGCGCGCGAGTAATTTATACGTATTTGTTTGCAAGTGAATAATTAGTTTCTCAGAACTTCGTGTGGAAGTTTCGCAAAGCGGTTCCAACAATGATTAACGACGAGCGTGTAAACAATTAAATAATTTCCTGGCGATTCTCAACTTGGAAAGCGCTCATTTCACAGTTGGCCCAATCGATTCATACGAGTCGAGCGATAAATCGACGCGGAAAATTGGCCGGTCAAACACGGCCGTACCGGCACGAAAGTAAGAACACCGTCGTCGAATAAAATGTATAAATCACCGTGCGATAAGAGTGGTAACGCGCTGCGAGAATCGACGGCGGACCTCGGCATATGGAAAAGAAACAATTCCGTCGGTACAACTTAATTTTCCGTTGCCTAAAGACCGGATGAAAACTCAGAACAGTAGTAGGGACAGGAAAATTCCTGTAAGAAGTTCCTACTCGGTCAATTGCCCTCAGTTGTCTCAACTGAGTTTTAAAATGCGACTAAATATTCACACGAATATTCTTAAGTGTCGTAACAGAGATAGCGTTTCTCGTTAAATATCTCATCAACTTTCATTTCTTAACGCCGAGTTTTTATCTGGTCCCTATTCTATACATTTGCGATATCGACGATGCAAAAGAAAATCGCCGCTAGTTATGATACGACACGTACATTCAATTCACTGAAAAAAGTTGACAAAAATATAACTGTGATATCTTCAAACCGATTTATTCCGATATACTTCGATATGCTTTACTGAGAGCTCGAGAGATACTTTTCCTCAAACGTTATTTCACGATCTCGAGTTAAGTTAAACGGGAGGAGGACCTACCGTGAAGACAAAAGGGAGTATACACGGCGCGCGAACCAGCATCGCGCCGTCAACGTGTCGCTTCGCTTGTCCCTTTCGGCTTTTCCAAGGCCTCCCTTGGCTTGATTTTCTCTTCGGCAAATACGGTCTACACCCAACACCGTATCGCAATTTCTAATCTTCTCAGCGAATGATCCCTCGCTCTTATTGCAGCCAATTTACTCGATCGATTAAATATTTCAGCCGCCCTACCGAGCACCGAAATAGAGATACTTCCGGTCGATTCTTCTCGCTCGTATCGATCACGACGGACAATCGAGGTGCGCGACGAGTGAATAAGCGACAAGTTCTCGTTTGATACCGAATCGGAGTCTGGTGGTCGCAGGTACCAACTCGGCTGGACGTAGCGGCACCTTCGATCAACACTAAGCCGCCGTCCCCTTCTTCCATCAAATCCCTCCACCATAGGCCCCTTTTGTGCCGCCGATCCGCCAACGCATCAGGAACAAACAACCGAACAACGGTCGAAATAATCGCCTCGGCAAAAAGCTTCGCGCTCGATTATAATCCGAATCAATCGAAAACTTTGCACGAAGTCTTAATTACTTTCTCATGCGCAACACTTTATTTTCAAACAAGTAACTCCGCCTACGTCGAATTTTTATTTCGAATTTCAGCTTCGTACTGGATTTTTTATAGGTAAGTAAAGGCAGATTGTTCAACCGTGGTTACTCGAGAACTGTTTAATTCGGGGTTCCCTCGAAAGCTAATTCCATTATAGTTCTCTCAGTGGCCTTATGACGAGACTACATTGACTGTATTCTCATTTCAATTTAACAGGCAATTAATAATTGACCGTGAAACATTTAATTTGAAAGTCTCCGTTCGTCATGCACAATAAAAGCCCGCCGCTTTGTATTTTTCCGCTCTCGTCGGCAAGAGACGCATTCGGCTCGAAGCGTTAGGAGGACTAGTGAATTATTTAATAAAGCTACGTCCTTGAATGATTTTATGATACGAATACTCGCTTCTAAAATAAAATCTGATCCTATATTATAATGTTGCGAGATGCAAAATAAACATTTCTAATGAAATTCCTAAACTCTGACAGTTATAATCCGTGAAACCAAGTTTCGTTCGGTGCTGGTGAGTGACATGGGCCGGTGAATGCGTACGCGAAAAATTAGACCGCCCCCGCTTTCACAGAGATTATTAACTTTTGTTCTCTCCTGCGCTCCCCTATCGCGCCACTAGAACTCGTTCGACACGACCGCTCGTTACACAGCTTCGCGGTCAACGATTGTGCGTACCGATGGAGGTAAGATCAACATCGCTTTATACGTTCCTTTGTCTTTCGTCGGGTGTTTTATCGTCGACAACGCCGACATGTAATAATCTGCTATCGTCCATAGTACGCGGATGCTGCGGCTTCGGAGCATCTCGCAGTCGCTGACCGCGATTAATTCATAGCAACTATTCTGCACCATAATTTCAGAAGCAATATAAAAAATAAATTAAGAAGTAGTGAATATAATTAAATATAGTAAATTATAATTTAAGTAAGTAAAGTAAATATTACTACAAACCATCAAAACATACTTAAATGGATAAAAATATTATTCGATTTAATAGGCGAAAAAAGCAAAAGATAATTTCGTTTATTTGGTTCTAGCACTTTTTTCTGTGCATGCGCACTATATAAATATAAATAAAAATCCAAGTAACAAAGTAAACGTGAATAAATTAAGATAAAATAATGTAACAATAAAAAGATAAAATGATACAACAAATATAAATAATAAGTAATGAAAAGAGAGAAGAAAATATATTCAATTATTTTGGACCGATAAAAATCTTCATGGAACTTCGGAGACGCGCGTTGATAAATAGCCAACAAGTGTCAATAACCCGTGTGTCGCACTTCAAACGGATAATCGCGGTCGAATTAACTCAGCGGCTTTTTAGTGGTTCACCGATGATCGTTAAGTCGAACAGCTCGCCGACTCGTTCTCGTTTCGGTTTATCGTGGCGTGTATTAAGACGAAAGCGGACGAAAGAGGACGGATATAGACGCGAGCGAGGATAATAGAAGAGGAAAGTAGGCGGTGATCGCGTGCGAGCACGGAATCATAAACGCTGCTATATCGCGCAAGGTGTTAGCCGGACTCGGGACGGCAAAGATGAAGATCGAGATTGGCTGATTGAAATTCCACTTTTACGATTACGCACGTGTCGCTCATATCTCGGCGATGTCGCTTCGCGCCGCGATAATCGTCGGTATTAGCGTCGGCTTATGCGAATACATTGAAATGCGCTCGACGTATCACCTCGTCGCCTTTCCACGATTTTCCCTTTCGTATCTCTCCCTGAAACGAGACATCGGAAGTTCTCTGTAATGAAGTACTCGTTTCCGAACTCGGATACTCCTCAGTCATCGTAGTTACGTTCAGAGAGAATGACCTGGCGTGATTCGCAAAGTCCTTCCTCCTCCGTTGAAATCCGCGAAGTGTCAGCTTTGTGAGAGACGCGAAGAAACTCGTACGGACTTGCAACCGTCGTGGAAGGATTTAATTGACGCAATTAACGAGCTAATTGATTCCGAAGTAGATATTAAGGATAAATGCAAAGCGCTCGTTAATTACAGAACATTAACTTGTTTACAGATAAGATAAGGAAAGACGGGGAATATGTTGACCGTTGAAATCTTGAAACCTATATACAGGGTGTCCCAGACCACCCGTCTCCCCCGATTTTTTCGTAAACGCGACATTTTAAAGAAAAATGTTTCAGACAAAAGTTTTGTGACTTCGAGGGGCACATAAGATAGTGTCATTGGTTTGACCTTGGATAGTCGTTTGAAGATCACGTGAAGGTCACCTTTAATTTCTTAAATGGAAACCCCCATTTTTCAATGCATATTCTTGTAGCTTACCTCGAGAGCTTTCCAAAACGCTATAATGAAACATCTTTTTAATCAGTACTTTTCAAATTATGAGGGTTGAAAGTTACGGTACCGCCGGCATTACCCAAGGTGGAGGTTGCACGGTCGGATTTACACCTCTTTGTGTGTTGTGTGTTTGTGTGTGTGAATGTGTGTGTGTCAACAGAGATAAGGACCCCACGGTTCGTCACGGATCGTGCTGCGACTAATTCCAGAATCTCTTTCTGTACGTCTTAATGAATGGCAGGGATGCAATTGAGCGGATGCAAGAATCTCCGGCATCCTTTCATCTCTAACTTGGCGTCGAATTTGTCTACCTTTATTGTGATCCGGTTGAAGAATACCTTTATTGGTAATTCGGTTAGCTAAGCGAGAAAAAACTTTGTACGAATGAGGAGCGCGATCTGGGTATCGTTCTCGCCACAATCTTGCAGCTGCTCTAAATTGACCATCACATTCACCTAAAATAAGCATCATATCACAAGCTTCCGCGTTTGAATACGACATGGCTGGTAAATGAGAATTTTGTTACACCTTACGTGACAGTATCAGACATGTCATACATCACGACTGGGTAATGCTAATGCCGGCGGTACCGTAACTTTCAATCCTCATAACTCGAAAAGTACTGATTAAAAAAACGTTTCATTATAGCGTTTTGGAAAGCTCTCGAGGTAAGCTACAAGAATATGCATTGAAAAATGGGGGTTTCTATTTAAGAAATTAAAGGTGATCTTCACGTGATCTTCAAACGACTATCCAAGGTCAAACCAATGACACCATCTTATGTGCCCCTCGAAGTCACAAAACTTTTATCTGAAACATTTTTCTTTAAAATGTTGCGTTTACGAAAAAATCGGGTGAGACGGGTGGTCTGGGACACCCTGTATATTCGTGTCGAAGAACGTCGTTCACTTTACTCGAAATATTGTAGGCTGGTGCGAGAAAGTTCATGGTAAATTACCAGGCAACCAACGCATACGCAAACCGTGTCTCGCATGTACTAACCGGAGGTTGTTATGAGCATACTGTCATAAGCTTCCATCTGCGAGGCGATATATGTAAGTTTGTTTTTCATATACGAACGATGCATGCATGAACAGGTACGAACTTTAAGCCAATACCCTGTTGGCCAATGTGAGTGAAAGTAACGTTTTCCTCATATAGCCGGTATTTTCGCAGGATTAATGCAGTTTCGACCGACGACCCGTCGCGCGAATGACAATTTGGCGAGGCATAGTTAACCGACACGAAATCGTTGCATGTGAGTTCCTTCGGATTCGTGACGATTCATTTTTCGAAATTCCTACAAAATTGGAAAACGCGATTCCGCCGTAAAAAGTGAATTTCTAATATTTTCTTCCTACCAACGTCGAGGGACAAAAAGACAATGTGGTTTACGATCATTTGTCTGGCGATAATATTCACGATAAAGATTCTGCACAGCTGGCGGCGACCATCGAGATTTCCTCCAGGTAAAACGGAAAATGAACCAAACGATAGGAAAATAAACAATTAAAATAAATATGAACGTGTTTTATCTATATTCGATAATTGTATCAAATAAGTACAAATACAGATTTTTAAATAAACTTCCTTGTTAAAATTAGATTCTCAGAATTTCAAATTCAAACTCAAGATATAGATTAATTAGAGTCTGGATACTATTAGCAAAAAATATAAGTAAAAGTGTATAAAATACAATGAAAAAGAACTTGTTGCGACCTCTCATTCAAAATATCAGAGCAATTTAACATGAAAGAAATTTAAATTCGACTATGCTCCTCCCATATGGGAATATGTGAAATAATTATAAAAATAATGATAAATGTCGAGGACCGCGCGGCCTGCCGATCATTGGAAACATATTCGACCTGAAACGTCTAGTGGACGAGACGAAGTTCCATTCTCACGCTTGGTGTCGTCTGGCCGATATGTACGGACCAATCGTCGGTTTGAAGCTCGGTATGGCCGAACCTCTGATTATCGTTTCCGACAGAAGTGCTATAGTCGAGATGTTGAATCGAGCCGAGTTCGACGGCAGATCTAATGGATTTTTGTACCGACACCGGACCGGAGGTGTCCGAAGGGGTGTGATATTCACCGATGGCGATGTTTGGCGTGAACAAAGAAGGTATTCCTTCCTTAAACGGAGACATTTCGCAAAAATTTGAGAAATATCGTAAATTACGAAGCAAACTTGCGTTGTCCTATATTCTTTAAATGAATACTAATATTGACTCCATCTTGGCAACGTGGATCTACATCGCCATTTTCTTATCTCAGATAAAAATATTTAAGCTGTTTGATATTAGAAATATTTTCAAACATCTCAAATTCTCTTTATCTAATCTCTATGTTATTCAGATTCACTCTGAGGACGTTGAAACAATTCGGATTCGGGAAAATCACGATGGAAGACATAATATTGAACGACGCGGTTGCCTTAGTGAACAAGGTGGAATCGATGGCTGCGTCGGGCCCCATTACGAACTTGCACAATATTACGTCCATAGCCGTACTGAATAGTTTATGGACATTAGTCGCTGGCTCGAGGTATGTTGCAATATTGGGAAATACACGCAACTATAGCGACAGAGTAATCGTAGCTGACAACATCGGCGACGTTGACGACATTGCGACGATGCTCGCAGATTCGAGCTGGAGAATCCGAAATTAACGAAGATCCTGTCGGTATTGGACGACGTCGTGAGAAATAGCAACGTCACCGGCGGCATATTGACTCAGTTCCCACTTTTAAGGTACATCATGCCAGAAACGACAGGATTTACCATCCTGAATCAAAGGACGACACGGACATGGCAATTCTTCAAGGTAAAGTCGCGTATCTTTCTCGGCTATGTAATTTCCGCTGTGTGTATATGTATAAGTGTATGTATGTGTGTGTGTATGTGTGTGTGTGTGTGTGTGTGTAGATATATTTTATTTCAGAGCGAGGTAACTAGGCACAAGCAAACTAGAATGCACGGCGAGTTCAGAGACTTTATCGATGTTTACCTGATGGAAATGAAAGCCGAGCAGTCAAAGCCGACTGTATCGTATTTCGATGGTACGGACCCTTTACGATAATTGAATAAGCGAGAATTAAAATGCGATGCCATGCGATAGAACACGGCTGAATCGAAGCGTTTGTTGAATTTCTCTCTCGCATCGCCGCGAATTTCTTCAAAGAATGGAGCGAAGAAATGCGGCAATTAAATTGCGGAAAAGCAAAGCGTGAATACCGGAAATAATAATGAATGAAAAAGAATGAAAATAACAATGATAAATAAAAGATACGGAGGATGTTATTCACGAGCGATTTGCTCGGGCGACTCTACAAATAAACGCCGTATGAGTGCGCGCGCGTATTAACTTTTTCAGCTAGCCGCGAAGCCGCCGCGCGAATAATCACTGAGAATATTCTCGTTCCAGAGGAACAATTAATTAGCATTGTGAAAGACCTCTTCGTCGCCGGCGTAGAGACGACCAACAACACAATTGGCTTCATAATAACGTATCTCGCAGTGAAACAGGACGTGCAAAAAAGAGTGCATGAGGAAATCGAGAGAGTGCTGGGCAAAGAGACTCTACCTCGCATAGAGCACAAAAATCGGTACACGAAACCTTATGAGATTAAGAGATATATCCATTTCTTTTTTATCGATCAGACACAGATTACACAATCGCAAAATGTTTCTGCAGTCTGCCGTACTTGAACGCGACGATAGCGGAGGTGTCGAGACTGGCGAATGTCGGTCCTACTTCGATCCCTCATCGAGCGCTGGCGAACACGACTTTATTGGGCTACGAGATAAAGAAAAATTACATCCTGTTGGCAAATTTTAAAAGCGTCCATATGGACAAGAAACATTGGGGCGATCCGGAGGAGTTCCGGCCTGAGAGATTTATCAACAACGAGGGCGAGTATGTCGAGGATCCTTGGTTAATGACGTTCAGCTTGGGTAGGTACAACGAGAAAAGATTTCTGCGTATAAATTTATTCTATAATTTATAAGACACTGAGGATCATAATATCAGTAATTTGACAGGTCGTAGAAAGTGCTTAGGCGAAACTCTGGCGAGGAACAGCGTATTTCTGTTCATCGCGTGTCTGCTGCAGAAGTTTCGGTTCATGTTACCCCCAGGACATCTAGATCCCATTTTAGATGGCATCAACGGCTTCACAACCGCGCCACCCGAAATAAACGTGATCGCTATTAAACATACGTAAATTTCTTGGCACGTTAACGTATTTGATGAATATAAAGATGAATATAAAGAATATCAATTTTATATAAGGGAAATAAGGGTTGATCGTGACGCACTTAATATATAACGTAAAGAATATGTATCATTCAATATAAGAATATACAACTTTATATCAAATACTGTTATTTCAATGTTGAACAACGAAATATTGCCATATCTAATAAATACGCGACCACCAGGAATTACCTTGTAAGTACAAATAATATCAAAACACATATAATAATTTAAACTATGACAAGAACTCGGTTAGAGAATTTGAAATAGAGGATTTTTCCACTTTTAACTGAAAGAGTATCATAGAAAAACCAGTCGATGGTAAAGCTAAAAATACGCGATAAATATACGATAGAATAAAAATAACAACATTCAACAACCTCGAAACAGCAAGTTGCACACAACTCCGTATACATTCGCTGTGCCAGAAGTTAACGGACCACCAAATATACTCGCTTAATATATCCGACTGAATCTGAAATTACTTACTACTTTTTAAAACATCCCATGCGTCGTGCAATTGCATCTGCGCAAGTTACGCTCATAAAAGTTCCTGAAAGCATAATTTCCGTTGCTTTTTTAACTAATTGCCAGATACCAAAAAATTCCCTGGCTGCTACATCCAAGGATTTCACACGAATCCTTGAATTATATAAAAGGAACAGAGCAGACTCAGTTTATTATGCACACAAATGTTCTATGACAATAAAATTAATAATACGATATAATTATTCGTGACCAATAAGTATAATAATTAATCGCTGTATTTGTACAATGGCGATAACCTTTATTTCGTTTTCTTTAAATACAAGTTCCTGTCTCAAGAGTAATATTAGAAGATTCTATTTACACTTGATGTACAATCAACACATTGTCTATTCACAAGAAATGCTTACAGAAAGTCTTCTTTTCACGTCCCACGATCTCCGAGGGGACGTTCTTCGGTTTTTATCGTTGACCACAAAAATTGCACGCTTCAGCGTCACTAATAATGCGAACCAATCATTTTAATCTGTAAATCGCTTTCCTACGCTTTCACGTCAAGCGTCAACAAATAATGGAAGACAACGGATTCAAGATTTTCATACAAAGATCGTACCAGCATAAAAGAAAATCGCCGCCCTTCGTGGCGCCGAAATAATCATTCATCCCCCGGAAGCGTTCCGCGGAGACTCACTTGTCTCGAAAGAATCGATTGGCGAATCGTAATTCAGGATTTGCCGAGAGAGTTGGCAGTACTCTTTCGCAATAAACAAAATATATATATTCTCGTATGTACAACTGTAAAATACACGACTGACATGAGCGTCAATTTTAACTGACGTATTAACGCAATTTCCTCGTGCAAGGATATCGTCAACATGCCAGAATAATATATGTTTCTATATATATATCTAGAGCTCAAACAAATATGTCCGGATATAACCGGACGTGACAGATGTATAGAATGATCGTATAACACGACAGTAGTTTCGAATCTATTTACACTATCAGAAATTTTGAGATTCGTATGGTCCACACAGACATGACTCTTCCCTAAGAGCGATAATATCTATGGTATATGTAGTCATGATCTAACGAGAAGTTTCGACTATGTCTAAATGACAGTTTTACGATCTCGAGAGATTCGGTACAAACACATTCGAAGCTCATGAGACTCGCACAATTGTCGATCGATTTTCATCGGAAGCCATTGATCACAATACAATTAACGTAAAGCTTGTACAACAAATTGTGATAAATGTACACGAAACGAAAAGGGGGACAACAAGGACAGGACGATAAGTTAGTACAACCATCGAATATAATCCACGAGAGTGAGGATTCAGAATACAAATAATTTGCGAACGCTCAATCCTTCTGTGTTAGTACCAAACTCCATTAAGAGAGATAAGGTGTGATTTCGTACACATTACAATATAATCATTAAACATTAGCTATGTCATGAGAATAAACGTCAACGTTTAGAGCTTAACCGGTTCGTAAATTTAACAGCGAGTTCAACGACGTCCGAGTTAGACCTCCGGTCGAATCTCGAGAAAAACACATTCGCAATATCTCAAAAATCTCTTCTATTATTTACATTTGTCATGTAGAAGAATCGTATCGATAATATCTGATCTGTATCGTATTTGCAGCCTCATGATCGGCTAGATCGTCGTCTTAATCTGTTCGTGAATCATTTGTTCGCGAACCTAAAAAATCTATCGTGCACAATAAGAAATTGTGTTGCAAAGGATCCACTTAAATTTTTCTGTCACTTTAACAAAGTGAATATGTTAAGAAGTAATACGTTAACAAAATGAATATATTAATTTAATATACTTGTCTACCTCTTTTAACAGATCCTCTACGTGAAAGTAACGCAAAAATTTAAATAAATCATTTGTGACATAAAATCTTTTACTGTATGAAGTATATCGATCCTTCGAGAGAATTCACGCGCGGTAAGAATAACGTTCCGCCGGGACTTATTTACCGAATATAAATTTCCCTCGCGCGAGAAAATAAAAATAACAGATAATTAATTCGTTACCTCGGCTGCAAAACACTGGTAATCGTAGAGGGAAATTCCAGGCATTAAATTATGCACATTTTACAGTCGCGAATAACAAAGCGGTTCCTCCGACAAACGGCGCGCAAATCTCTTGGAAGCATCGTTATCAGGACTACCTTGCAGAATTAGAAGAAAGAGATAGAGAAAGAGAGAGAAAGAGAGATAGAGAGAGAGAGATAAAGAGATTCTAGATAATCCCGGAAGTTATAATTTTATTGCACCTTCACTGCGTAAAGGCCGAGAAAACGAGATTGTCGCTGAATTATGTCGACTTTCTGCGCAATCCACAGACCGATTCTATCCCTATGCAGTGGGTTCCTTGCTTGAATCGCGCCGTGATTCGAGACTAGATGACATCCCGCCTACGCGAACCTCAGGACGACAATGCCAGGCCCAAGCGCGCGAAGACCATTTCCTTCCTCAGCCGCGTAATCTCCCAGTAAATGTCATGAACTGCAACGGCAAGATTTAAATGGAAATCGTTATTTCTGCACGAACACTGTTGAACTGTATTCCTAAGGTTACCGCAACGGGCCATATTTATTATCACGTTCGATCCGTGATATTGAGAAATAAAAGACTCGTATAACCAGTCGTTAAGTCGTTGTTTGAAAATCAACGTCAAATGTTTGAAAGTTCAAATGTCGTTGCTTTTAACAGATCGAAGAGACATTTATTTTCAACCAGTCATTTCTCTAAAAATAACAAACAGGCAATGAAAAACGTATTGATTGCCAGGTCGTTTCTCATCGCGTGATATCGCGTCCTATTTATAAATGTAGTTTAATATTGCAATTCATAATTTATTCTAGACGTTATATAATTATATGTATATATATATATATATATAAACAAAAATGTTAAAAATTTAATTAAAAACTGATTTTTCTTTCTTGCAAGTATATTTAAAATATAATAGATACTCAAGGGTTGATATTTCTCTTATAATCGATTATTTGGACGGCGAATATTTTTCAACATCACCGTCACACCCTATCTCATGCATTTTTTTTTAACTCACCTGAGCTTTTGACAAGGCCGCGCTCGACATATCTCAGGTAATTCAAAAAATCGCACACCGCTATAATCTGCAATAAGACATGCGGTTTCTCACACAACGGGATTCATCGCAAGATAAGTCTGATGTAAGTTCAACTGATTATCAGCCTACTCACTCGATTGCGACAGATCTGCGAGATGCAGTACCACTGATTCTCCTGATCGCCAAGTCGCATACGATAATGGCATTGCCGCGGTGCCTCCAGCAGCGCGCATTTCCTGAAAGCGCAATATCATCGTTATCTCACAGGATACATTCACGCAGGAAAACATATATTGCGTTCAAATAAATGTTACTTGTTATAAGTATTATATAAATTCATATATCTGCAAATATAAATTTCCTCATAAGTATCAAGTTTATTCCAAATATATTCTGCATCTTAGTAAGTTTAGTACCTTAATTAAGAATATTAAATTAGAACCAATTTTGGTTTCTGCTCATTCGAGTTAACCGAGAACTTAACTTTCCTTCGACGAAGTAGATAATATTCTTGAAAAGAGAGAGGATAAATTCTTCTTTCGAGTACACGATAATGAGCTTTTCTCAAATTTGTAGTGAGTGTTTGAAGACTATTATCAAGAAAATGTTCTTCGTTGGCCGTAACTATTACTTGAAAGAAGGAAAGTAAAGCGAGTAATCGCTTTTCTTAGCAGTAGAATGATATTCTTCTCTGTGTAGCGCGTAATCAGCCTCAAGATGAATATTCATAATGCAACGTCGCTAACGAGCACGTACTTCGGGAAAGCGAGTTTCGTCTTGTCGCTGACCGCCTCGATGAAGATGATACCGTCCAAGACGGCTTGCCTGACTTTGGCGCCCAATTCTTTGTTAGGGAAATCCAGGCAGAGGTCGATGTCCTCTCTAAATACCCTCGCGACGAAGAGATCGCTCTTGTCGACGCATGGATTCGCCTTCCACCTGAGAAACTCCGTGTGCACCCTCGGATCGACCTCCAGGCCGAAATCCTTGCACTCTCGCTCTCTCTCCTTCTCGCGATCCCGCTTCCAATCCCTCTCGAGCACCTCTCTGTCCGTCGGTAAAGGCGGTCTTTGTTCTTTCACCGGCGAATCAGGCGGTGAATTCTCCCGGCCGTACTTCAGATTGAAGTGCGACGGCGATCTGCATCGGAATTGCAAATCGGCCTTAAGCGCGTGTCGCTAATTTGCATTGTGCCTCGTGGCACTAAATAAAGATACGCTTCGAATAAATAATGATCGTGCTAATAAATGATAATCAAGCTATTCGGAGCTGAGTCCGCTATTGATCTTTCAACAATCTCACCGCCTCGACAATTATTGATACTGTTCTGTGATTAATAATCAGTCACTCGTGACTTATTTGACGAAAATCGACGAAATTCGATCGGTACCTGCGGTGTTTCTTCGTGAAAAGCCCCTGCTGGCTCTCCTCGCCGTTCCCGGCGCGGCCCTTCGTGTCGATCTGAGGATGCAGATGAGGATTCGGCCGCGACGGAGTGGACGTGAGCACCAGAGTCTTCAGAGCGGCCACTTCGGCCGCGAGCACCTCCGATTTCATGCGACTCTCCTCCAGGAGACGCTCCGCCGTCGCCTGGCGTACGTTAGCCTCTCGAACCATGTTGTGCGCCTCCTAAAAGCACATCATGCCATACATGATAACCCTTAATCTCCTCCCTACTTTCCGTGGGTTATTATATATTTCTGGTTTATGTTATTTATATCATGTGCAATCTATTTGATTGAATAAAAATGTCAACCCTGAAATATACAATCGAGGTTCACTAAAACACGAGTCAGAAATAAATAATAAAGAAGAATTTATGTTTTTAAATAAAAGCGTGTGAAAGCAGAGCGCTCGGCTTTTCTTGGTTAACCTTGATTGTATACTCTATTTATATTATAAACATTATTTATATCCTATTTATATTATTATTTATCCTTGAGGAGATAGGAAGGAACTAACTTGGAAGAGACTGGCAGTGAGTTCCTCGAGCTCGGCCTCTACGTCCTGTCTGATGCGCGACAATCTAGCCACCTCCTCGTCCTTCAGTTTCAACTCCTCGTGGGCCCTCTTGAGCTCCTCCTGCAGCTTCGCCACGGCGTGCTCCTTCACCTCGGCCACTGCCCTGCCCCACTGCAGGGTGGTGGGCGACGGTGGACTGTTGATCTTCTTAGGGACGCACAGCAGCTCCTGCTTCGGCAACGCCTCCGGCTGAAAGTAATTTCCGCAAACATTTTCCTCGCGGACTCACGGAGCGCGATCGGCAGGCCCGGGGATTTCGAGGATGACGCGTTACCTGTGTATCCTTGGACAGAGAAGATCTCCTCGAGGACTCGCGGGAATTGTCCTTCTTCGCCGAGCTTGTATCGACATTCTCGTCTTTCGCTTTATCCGCCGAAACAGCTTCGCTCAACCGGAGATCCAGGGGTCTCGTGCGCTGAGCCTGTGACTTTAAAACTTCTGGCTCAGGAGATTTCAGCTTGTCGCAAGACTTCGCCGGCTTCTTCTCGTCCGACAGGCTTCGATGTCTCGATAGAACACCATGCAGCTTCTCGTTGTACGTGAACAGTGGAGTGGTTTTGCTCGAATTGGAACTGAAGCGTGCAAACCGTCGGGATAATCAATAATCTTTACAGCAACAACGACCAACAATTAAATTAACAACGTCCAACACTAAATCGCGTACATCGGCCGAAAATTCAAATACATAACACACTTGTAATTTTCGTGCACGTGTCGATTTTGATCTTTGCTCTCAAATTAATGCGTGACGAACTGCCTCTAGAAGCTTCAAAAAGATGATTACGAGGCTCTGGCAATTCAAATCAAACAAGAAAAAAATTGTTTAAAAGAAGAAAAAAGAAGCTCTGCAATTCAAATCAAACAAGAAAAATAAGAAAAAGAAGAATATAAAATAATTTACGTGTATTTAATTTGACTTCCAAGTTAGTGCCGTGCTCTTCGTGGATTCTTTTCCCATGTCTCAGTTGTTGTTCATGAAGATGTGAACCTGAAATGTTCACGAAACACCGGAAACAAATCCGTAAAGGTCGCGGAACTAACCCGGAAACCACAAATTAAGTATCCATACCGCGGAAGCCTAAAAAAAATACAATAACCAAAACAATATTATAAAAGACTTTGAATTGTTTATTAACTCTAAAAATGAAGATTTTTTTAAAAAAGGCATTTACGACTTGCCCAATCGTTGGCAGAAAGTCGTAGATGCCAATGGAAATTATTTCGATTAAAAATAATAAACAATGTGAAAAATAGCGCTTTTTGATTTTTATTTCTATTCAACGCCCGTTTCATAGTTTCCAATCTAATATTTATGTAATAATATACTATGCACGCAGATACAGGTTGTCTGTGGAAGTTCCCACGCAACACGCACGTCTCAAAGGCGTCGTTATTGTCTCAAAGACGGTCTTATTATCTTTATGACGTTTAGGATGCCTTAATGTTCTCTGGGTTCCATCTGGACGCACCTGTCACCCAGGAACTTGTTGTCGTCCTCATCAAACAGACTAGTCGGCTCCTCGTCTTCGTCCTCGCGCTTAGTGGCGTACCCGAAGAGATCCGTGGCCGCCCTCGCGAGGTCGGACTTGAGAATGGGATGAGGTGGATGCAGACTGGCGCCGATCGAGCAGTCGGCCTCGTCTGTGTAGAGCTCATCTTCATCTGTGGTGTACTCCTCGTCGCCCGTCGTGCCGGTGCTTCCGGCTCTCCTGTGCTTGGTGGTGAGCGGTCGGTAGGCGTACTCGTTCGAGCCGGAAACCGATTCGTTGGACTCCATTGACTCCGGCTGCTGCTGCTCCTGTACTTCCTTCATGATACACTTCTCGTCACGTGAGGCCGGACGCAGCCTCCGAGCTTGATGGAATTATCGACGTCCGCGCATTGACTTACTCCGCGGGTGACAGATGGCTGGATCGGAGTCGCGCGCTTGAATGAAAACGTCTTCACACCTTTCCTCTCGCCACGGAAGTGCGGTAATGAGATGAGCGTCGACGACAGTCGCAAGTGAATTCTGGGTGGGAAATAATCAAGCGCCTTCGTTATTCAACATCGAACGATTGGAAAGTCCGATATTACGATAAATAATTACAAGAAAACGACTGGAGAATAATTATGAGCTCCTTGACTAAAATGAAATTATAAGAACGAGAGGACAATAAGAAGAGGGAGGAAGAGAGAAATTGCCGATGTCAAGTGCATATATTCAATTTCCATGTACACTATTAAAAGATGTCGGAACGCTTCGACCGTTATATTGCCTACGAATGAATGTTAAAGTCAATACGGTATAAAATAACAAGAATAAAGCGATTTTTTTTTTGTAGCAAGTTTTCGGCAGTAATTTTTCGATAACTAAAAAAGCTTTTGACAAGTATTTTCTATCCAATCTCCGGGGTTTAAAACGTATACGTAAAAATATATAAGGACAGCTTTTTTTCTCGATATAATTTATTTTCAGGAATATTGACGCGAATATCAACACAAATATACGCGCGATCGCGTTACCGGTATTTGCGAAGATCCGCGGAAACCTGCCTCGCGCGAAGCCTCATACGAAAAATCCTCGCTTTATAAATAACCCCGCGAATCTCTCGTATACATTGCGAATTCGCGTGGGCAGCGAACACGCGTGCAGCGCGCACGTGCCCACCGTTACTCATTACATAAGCAAACTTCGGCAAATTTAAGCCTATTAACGACCACGACCACGCCGAATAAACCTGTTATTCGCCACGGCCATTACACGATCATGTTAAATTATACACCGCGAGGATTCACATCATAACGGTTGAATTAATTTTATCCAAAGGAGGAAAAAATTGAAAAAAAAAACAAAAGAGAGCGCACGTGTTTGTCCAATACAATTACTTTGAGCATACCTATTAACAGTCAAACGCAGTATTCCATATTATAATAAATATAATATTATTGGATAAAATATTAATGATAATTTTATAATTATTAATTTATAATTTTACTATTACGTTTCCAGCGGCTAATTCCCTGTTATATTTATGCCCTCGCTGGAAATACTTCTGACATTAATCCGAGACTTCTGGGAAATAAACAGACTGGTACTTTAATTAAAAACATTTGCGAAATAATTGCATCACTTAATGGGATAAAGCAAATCAGTAAATGCGGTATATCGCGCCTGAAAGCACGAAACAAAGAGAGAGAGAAAGAGAGAGAGAGAGAGAGAGAGAAAGATACGCATCGGAATTCTCCTTCAACTGACTTATTCCCCCTGCGACATCACCACGTCTAACTGTTAACTAACTAATGTCCACGTTCGTGGGATGCAATTTAACGTAATGAAAAGGAATGAACGCTATCGTGCGACACGCACGTCTTTACGTCATTGTGCCAGATCGCGTACCGCACGTTGATACGCGTTTAAAGGAACGTTCGTTGTACAACAGTGCCGGCGCGACTTCTCGATAGATGTCAAATCGAGAGCAATTAGGGACTCCCCCTGGTCGCCGCCTCTGTTCACGCGCGCGTTACAGCTCCGTCGATAGAATTCCTCGGTGAAGTTGAGCCGTCGAGCCCGAGGAACACGGCATAATAATTCCGTCGGCGAAATGATCAAATGCAAATCCGACGCGTCGTTATGCATTACACCGCGCCACGTTACATCGAATGAATCAAAGACTAGTTGTAATATCTCGGCCATCTTCTCCGAATCCGCTTTTAATAACGCATGCAACTACGCCTATATTGCCGTTACACACCTCCTTCCAATAATGCAGGAATACATATACGCGCGATCTTCCGCTTTAATTTCGCGGAACGACGCTAATTGGCATGAAAAGTATGCGGAAGCGCATACTGCAAATCGTTTCTGCATACGACGCCAGTGAGTCCCCGCGACCGTTGCCAAAAGTCTGTAATTTTACACGAGCACGCATCAATTTGAAGTTTACTAGAAACACAGAAGGGCGAGATCGTTGATACGAATAAGTTTTATATGGGAGAATAAATGTGTTTGTGTGACAGTGTAAACGCATTTAAAGGAATCGATGAATGCTAGTTAATTAATTAATAATTTGCGTTTTAATTAATATTAACAACTGAGATACAGGCTTTATTCGTGAAAGGTAGATTCTTCGTTTGAAAATCAGCGAGTGCGTTTGCACTATGAAACACATTTACCTTTCCATATCAAATTTATTCGCAGACAACGACCGCGCTCGGCTCTTATAAGCCTTTCTATGTTTCTAGTGATTATACATCTCAAGAGCACGATACATTTAATTTGTAATTTAAAATTCGTTCAAAATTGCGAAACCCGGCGAGGCCGCAGCGGTGTTTTTCTGCTTCTTACTTGCCTCGCCTTTATTCGTTATTAAAACCAGAATACTGCGTCTTAATACTTGCTTGCTTTTCAATTTTTTTCCTTGGGTAGTTGCAAATTATATTCAAATAACTATGTATATTAATCGTCTCAGGCACCAAACAACCAAGTATTATGTATTATTGCTGTATATTCCAAGAAGCCTCCAGGGTTAAATATATACTCTTCTCTCTCTCTCCCTATCTATCTATGTATCTGCCTACCAATCTACCTATCTTTGCAGATTCATCGTGAAATACCCAACAACGTTATCTTCGCCGTCTCTCTCGGGCTCGTTTCTCTTTGGAGGAATTCGCGCGAGACCTAGTCAGTCGCTCGTAATTTTCGCGACCCGGCACGGTCGGACAATACTAACGACTCCGTTCGATCCGCGGAACACATCGCGTGGATTGTTTCCTCGTATTCTCACGAACGCGAGACCGTGAACAATGTAACAGCCGGTGAAACGTACGAAGATGATTTCCTTGGTGGATATAAAGGGGGACGCGCGGGAATTGCGTCACGGTTAAATCGTGATCGCGAGAAGGTGGTACAGCCGGGCACATGCTTATGCGAGCAACACCTCTCGCCGATGTACCGTCGCGGAGCAGAACCGCGCGGTAAACAGCACGCAAATCGCAACCGAGAAATTTCGGCGTCGGATCGAGATATTTCGGAAACGCGCGGGAGAATTGCGCGCGCGACGGGCAACGGGATCGCATGGAATCAATTTTGACCGAGTTCAAACTCATACAGCACACAGAGGGGTGTCCTAAAGACGCCCAAAGGGATCTTCAAGGGATATCCTAAAGCGTCCGGAGGATTTTCCCAGGATGTCCTTCGGATAAAATATGCTCTGTGAGAAGTCTTTTTCCATGATAAGTGCTGATCCAGAGTTGCCACTTCCCCGGTTTTCGCCCGGAGTCTCCGGACACGAAAAGGAAAATCTCCCGATCTCCGGTCAAAAGACAAAATCTCCGTGCCAGCGCGGCAAAACGTGTGACCGATAAATCATGAATTCAGAGCGAAGCATATTATTGAAAAACGGCATAAATGGCACTAAATATATTTTTCAAGTAAAGAAGCAACTGTAGAAACTTTGTTAGAACATGAATAGCGGATACATTTCGTTACAGTGATGATTGAAAGACCTTTCGTCCAGTTCGTCGATCTCCGGCCGGGCGGACAAACTGAGCTGGCAGTTGGTGTTGACGCGAACAAAGCAATTTTTCTTGTAAATAAGAAAAAAATTTATTTAAATTAATATAATTTATACAGAGTATAAATTTATATTTTATATAAATAGAAATATGCCGACGAAAGTGAAATTCTGACGGGCGAATCGTGACGCGTGCGTTCTACCTGTCGCAAGAGACAATATTAAACCTTTTCTTTCGCGATGTTTTTCGTAAGCCTCGCGAATCGACCAAGCGGAGCGCCGAACGAATAAACGGCCGAAAGCCGTTACGTCGCTCGGTCCGAAATAGCTCAAACACTCCGACGAAGAATTTAAACCAACGAACTTCGGCTACCTCGAGATCTCTCAAGCGTAGTGATCGTCGCGAGGAACGACCTCGCGCGGTGACGAATCTCCCGCTAAGAAAATATCGATCGGGGGAATCTCACGGGAAACGCGAGAAACAGTGCTGCACACCCCGTCGATTCTGGAATATCCCATGTTCCACTTATGATCATCCAGCGCTCCTGACGGGCCCCGACGTGCTCGACGCGCGGGAACGCAGGTGCGCGCGAATCGATATCGGTTTCGCGCGCTTCATTACCCGGCTCATAATCCCGCACTCGATTACCAATTAGCAGAGGTGATCCGAGATCAGGAGGCGCGATTAACGAGATGATACGTTCCCCGTGAAAAAAATACCGCCGGATAGATCCGCGATAAAGCCGCCGAGGCGTACGGCCCTGGCCTTGCGGCTCTCTCACGCCTCGTGTGTGCCAGTTATGCCCCGTACACACCGGGGCCTGAATCGCCGGCCTCTCGATGGTGTGAGTGCGTATATACCTGTTACTCATTTACACACACGCGAGGCACACGTACGCACGGGGAGCCGCGTGCGACCGTGTACCAGTCGCAGACACGCTCCGTGAACTGCGTGCCACGATGGTAAAAGATAGGACCTACACCTATCCATGTTTGCTTTCGTTCGACCGCCGAATATGAACGCAAGCAAGGCCTCGTCTCTCTCTCTCCCTCTCTCTTCGCATGAAATCATCATCCTTTTCGAGAGATGTTGTTGCAAAATGTCAAGCGAAAGTTGAAAAGATCATCGGATAACCGACGTGCGAATCTCGATGCTGCGTCCGCAAGGATGAACCCCGGAAGACGACCTCCGCGCTCGTTTGTGACGAAACGAACCGAAAATCGGAGCGAAACCCGATCGCCGCCGCGTGTGCGTAACGCGCAGCCACGTCGGCTGGAATCCTTGAAAAGCACGGAAACAGTGAGTCAGGGGATTTTCGAATAAAACTCGCGTGGGCGTCGAAGAAGAGTTCTCAGTCAGCGCGCACTCATCTTCTCTGGCTCTCATCGCGGCCATAATTCGTTTTCCCTGTGACGCGCGACTTAGTTACGCGGACGAATTTTCGTCCCCGCGGTCCGGTTTCATCACAGCGACGACGAAATAATGCTTTATTCATCGCGTAAATCTCCTATTCAC